ACGATAACGGTAAATAAGTTTAATATCAAACCAAAGCTATGAATCAATTTAATTCTAAAAAATCATAACTATAGCGATAAATTTCGAACCAGATATTATTAGATAAATCCGGTTAATTCGGATTAACATTTATCAATTTATGGATCAGATAAACTATCCGAATTAAGTGTTTCATCTAATTATATTCGGATAAGCAGATGACCAGATCTAACCGCTAGATTTTTGTATTCCTCGCATATTCTTTATAACAATTTAGGGTCATTTTTTTTTAATTATTGCTTATTTTTTTTCTTAATTTTAGCTATGAATCATAATAAAGCTAAAAAAAATGGTTCTATATTGTTGTAGAGCATCTAACGAGGAATCCAAAAATTATAATTTTATTTTTATAGACGCACTGATTCAGAAGTTTTAAGGATTTGAAGTTACTATATAAATGATATAATTTCAAATCCCTAAAACTTCTGAACCAGTGTGTATATAAAAATAAAATTATAATTTTTGGATTCCTCGTTAGATGATCTACAACAATATAGAGCCATTTTTTTTTAGCTTTATTATGATTAATGGCTAAAATTAAGAAAAAAATAAGCAATAATTAAAAAATAACCCTAAATTGTTATAGAGAATATTGCGAGGAACCCAAAAATCATAATCTTATTTTTATAAACTCACTGGTTTAGAAGTACGTAATAGTGATTTGAAGTTAACATCTAAACTATGATCGGCAAAAAATCCGAATACATTAAATAATCTCTCATTTTTGGCAAAATTCATATGGCAATTAACGCATGATCGAGTTGCTGCATTTCCTTTTATAGGGTACGTCTAAAGGCGTGTGCAGTCATATGTTTTTACTTTTTAATTAGAGTAAGGGTTAGTATGGGGTTAGGGTGAGGGCAAGTCTTATAGTGAAATTGCATCCGACATTTTTTATTGATGATCCGAGGTAGCTTTAGACATTCGTTCCTTGTATTTTTGACGTTTTTCACTTTTTTTCTTCGTCGGGCGATTCGTGTCGATCAAAACAACCAATTTTATTGGCTCCATGTCACGTGATTGCACACGGCTTTAGACGACCCCTTTTATGGTGAATTTTTCCTATAAAAGAAAATGTCGCAACTCAATCATGCGTTAAATCCGCCCATATGTGATATCTCAAGAATTGCAGATCCATTTTGGGCTGAATCGATTTGCGCATTCATTTAAGCCCAAAAATGAATCTGCAGTTTGACATTATAAGTTAATCGTCGTTAGCCATCCATTTATAGATTAAAATCAGTCTTTTGTATGTAATACGTATTAGATTATTAAACAAGTTCTATTGTTATTTCATTCATTTAAGCCTAAAATTATTCAAAATTGATCATGCTACATATAGTACGTACGTACATATGAATTATACCTAGAATTAACTATATGATCTGTTGTACATACGTACGTACGTGCGTATCTACTTCGCAAATTTTATTACGTATACTATTTCGATTTTCATAAATTTAATAAATTCTTATCATGCAAAAATTTTGGAAAAAAATCCAAGAAAGATTCTGCAATAAGTCTAGTTCTAAAGTTTCAAAAAACAATATAAGAGATCGTGAGTTATAGAATTATTTGCCAATGCATAGTATGTATTAATACAATAATAATATAAATATTATGCAATATTAGCACTAAGGTATCACGAATGGATAGAAATGAAGATAAAAAATGGCGATATACAAATTATTGATTACTCGGAATTTAGTGAAATCAACGAAATAGGCCGAGGTAAGATAGCCTTTTTACCCGATAAAAAAACTATATCCTGACTTCCCCAGGTTATTATTCCTTATTATTCCGTAAGGCTTATTTTTCCGAAACAAAACATACATAAATTCCTGATTACTGTACTTCCCAAAATCCTGATACTTCGGGTTAAAATTAAATCCTGGTAAAATTTAGTTTTTAACTTAATAAGCCAAAGATAAAAGTCTGATATTACCAGGATTTAACTTTTACTCTATCATGATTATTTTTGTGCTGGAAAAATGTCCATTTTCTGGAATGAAAACAGAAAAATCGCAGTATGCTCTCTATTTTTTTTTTTTTTTTTTTTTTTTTTGTTATAAAATTAAAGAAATTAGGCCAGACCAATTTAATTCTACGTTTAACATAACCCGTTCAACATAACCCCAGTTTTTGAAAATTTATATAAAAAAACACCACATTAACCAATCAAATTGTAGTATTAGTTTGTTATAATTTTTATCTTTCTTGTAGCCAATAGAATTATTGTATCTTTTCTTTGTGTTTTTTTTTTAATGCCCTCCCCCCACTCTTATGATCTATTTTATGTTATGTTAAACGAAGAATTAATTTGGAGTAGCCGTATTTACAAATACTTATAATTTTAATGTTGAAATAAATTAAAGGTGGTCATGGTACTGTTTATTCTGCTGAATACGGTGGAACAAAGATTGCAATTAAAGACCTCAGACATACCGATATCAGAACAATTGTTAATGAGGTGACATGAAACTCTTTAATAGTATCTGATTTCACTCGTCATTGCTAAAAATCATGTTCCGGTATTATATAGCTGAAGCAACATATGACAGTTAACGATAATGAAAACTTTATAAGATTTTTAGGAATTACCGGTAAGAAATAATTTTTGGCTTAAAATAATTCATATATAAATTATAAATAACATTTTTAATTAAGATTCTGGAAGTCGCGAAAATTCAGAAACAAATAATTATAAGATTGTATTACAATATGTAAACGGCGGGACCTTACGAGAATATTTAAACAATAAAATTGATGAAAACAACATTTTTAGAATTTCGTGGGCAGAACTTATCCAAATTGTGGAACAAATTATTTTCGGGTTAAAATATTTGCATAATTACAACATTGTTCATGGAGATTTGGTAAGTGTCAGTTAAGTGTACATTATTGGACAGACGACAAAAAATAACAGGCAATTTTTTTTTGTCGGAGTTAATGTCACTCCATGTG